ATATTCTAATAATAATTATGTTCAACTCTCAACTTATATTCTAATACGATAATTCCAACTCTCAAACTTATATTCTAATACGATAATTCCAACTCTTAAACTTATATTCTAATACGATAATTCATCAACTCTTAATATTATATTCTAATACGATAATTCTGTCAACTCTCTAAACTTATATTCTAATACGATAATTCCAACTCTTAAACTTATATTCTAATACAATAATTCCATTCAACTCTCAATTTATATTCTTTCCTGCCGTGCTTATCTTTACAAGCCTAGCGTTACTCTTTTTTCCGGCGCACGGTGTTGCCACATTTACATTGGCGCCCAAACAACATAGGTGTAATCAAAATGCTTATTAGACTGTTTGTGAAACTCTGAATCTTGTATAAAGTATACAATGAGAGAATAAAAGCTGGTAAACTAATAAATTGTTAGATAATTAAACTAAATTAGAATCGATCAGTTTGTGAAGAGAGGAGTCCTTGTATGCAAGAGATATGCACGTGCTGTAATCGAGTTTGGTTGTATGTGCGAGAAGTGGAGAGATATTTGGTGAATCCGTTGAATAGGGATGCCCGGAATATCTTCCACACGTAATTTCCGCTAATTTCCATTAATCTTTTTCAAGGCACTCGAGCCGAGCCGCGCTCCGGAATGCTCGAAGCCCGCGCGCGACCAACTTTTACCTTTCCAGTCCAAATTTATTTATCGCACACTCCCGCTCATATTATCCATTATCCTTCCCCGCATTTCACTTGCACACCTCATCTCCTCTTCCTCCTCCTCCCTCATCCATCCAAAGTATGGCTTTCCTCTCGTTTCTGTGTTTCACGCGAATTACAATCCTCCGCAGATTTATGGACGCCCTGCGACACTTTCAACGAAAAAATGCACCGAAATATTTCGCGGCGACCGCACGCAAATGATAAATCGCTCCTTAATTCCAACAACGCGGATGCTGTTACAAAATAAAATATTTAAAAATTTCTACCATACCAACACCCAAAACATCACCTGTTCACAATTCTATGATTATAAAACTTTCCATTTAATATTTTATTTGAACATCTCCAACTTATTATATCAATTGTATAAAAGTATCTTACTGGAAAAATGACTAAAAACATCAAAATGTAAGAATTTTTTTTTGAATTGCAAATGTTCAATGAAGAAAAATATGATAAAATATGGATTTTTCTTAGGAGATTAGAATAATCAAAAAAGGTAATGTATTGAAGGTTCTTGCAGAAATATAATAATAAAAAGTTACAAAACTATTAATATACCAAAGTGAATTTACATATAATAGTTTAATGATATACAAAATAAATAGTTTGTAAAATAATATTGACTTTTAGTACCTAAATAATGAATAAAACTGTTTGTACAGTAAGATTAAACTTAACGTTACATCACCGACTGTAACAATATCTAGATGGCTCTGAGCTATTTGTGTGTATATAAAAAAGGTAATTATGTAAAACTTAAAATAACGTTAGCGTTAGTTAAACTATGAAAGCGACAACATAAATTACAATAATATTGTTTATCTGGGATCATTTATCTGGGCGCGCGTCTTGGTTTTCACGTTTCCACAAAATCCGGGGCTAATCTCCGGATCTTAAGCACAAATCTCTGTAGTTTCCAGGTGGACGTCACACACAAACACAAACGCACACAGGTCGGAGATAGGCAGAACCGAACGAAAGACCGACCGATCGATATTCCGAGAGAGCCGCCCCGAGCCGGTATTAATTTCACGATTATGTAATGCCATTACCTTCCAGGTGCAATTAATCCGGGCCTCTCCACCTTTAACTCATCTGCCACTTGTTGTGATACACATCTCGCTCGACCATTCTCCTATTTCCTTTATTGCGTGCCCACTTCTGATTTATTCCAGCATGGAACGCATTACATTCTACTCGCGCTGCCGTCCACCGGCCATTCGATCCACCGTGTTCTTCGGGTAAACCGAATGTGTTTATTTACATAGATTAGAACCCGTATACCATCGATCCTCGACAATACAAAGATTGAAAGCAGTCGATTCTTTACTCTCTCAGCATTTTCAATTCAATTAGTATAACATACATTTATTTATATAAGATATTTTTAGAATGATACAATCATATAAAGTAATCTACAATAGAGATTATTTCACAATTAATAAATAATAAAAGAAGACTTTTCGCTTTTTGGCCCAAATTACAGACAATATTTTTTTTTAATAAATAAAATAAATAACATACAATTTATTACATTCGGAAAATAAATCTAGAAATTGCTTGACATTAAATAAAATTAAATTAGAAGTTGGTGAATTTATGATGATTTAAAGTTTTATTTTATTTTGAAGATATTAATGAATCTTTTGATTAAAAAGTTTTGATTTTGCGTTTCATAAATTTTTCAGAGAGCATAATATTGCTGAGCGCAGTTTCGCTCTTTGATTAACAACTGTGTTTAAGAATAATGCGTTTTGTTGGATTACAAGATGGAGAAGCGACAATAATTTACGAGTATAAAGGGTTCGCAGTGTGCGCAAGAGGTTCGCAAGTTCGCAATAAACGTGAATTATTGCGATATTTTCGGTTTCGCGAATTCGTTTCCTCCTCGCACCTCATGGATGCAAATACATGGAGGAGGCATTACAAGATGCAGCCGAAAAAGGCTGCTACGTGATGCAATTTAAAAAGAAGAAGAGAAATGCATTTTGTTTCATCCGCATTGTGTGTTGAATTGAAACCAGCGGGTTAATTAGTGCCTCTTAACACGATGTTACGGTTTATGATATGATTTTTGGGTTTCTGCAGTGGGTGTCCTCCACCTCCACCTCCTCATTCTTCTTCTTCTTCTTTATCATCTTCACTACTTTCTCTCTCTGTCTTTTGTACCTCTTGGTGCACGGTGGGCCGTGAGTTATGTGCCTCTTTTGTGCGATTTATTTAATTCGCAGAGGAACGATCGCGTTCCCCAAATTTTACACGAAATATTAATAATAAAGTGTGATTAATTTGACGTGGTCATAATTCTTGCGGCCACCGCGATCCGTCATAAATTTGCGCCGCGAAAGCTGCCAACTTTTTGTTACATTGTTACTTGCATTCGCTGCCAAACACATAGATACGACACGCTGCTGGAAACAAATTAAAGTAACGTTTCTTCATTTCCCAGAGTTTTTTTTATTGCCACCATCCGAGTTGGTGCAGCCATTTATTCAGCCTTGATTTTTGGAACAAATCGAAAAGGATGAAAGTTGAAAAGTTCAATCAGTGAAGTTGTCCAAAATATCTTCATATTTGAATGGCACAATTGTTATAATTCGGTTACAGAACTTCATGAAAACATAGTTTTGTTTGCTGTAGTTAGTGAAATCTAAATGATGAAACTGATGAAAGTTCAATCATTGAAGTTATCCAAAATATCTCCAAATTTGTATGTTACTATTTATTGTTACATAATGATTACTCAACTTAATGAAAACAATACTTTAATACAAATGTTTGTTTGCTTCAAATAGTGAAACCTATATATGATAATCATCTATGAAAGAAACTGATGAATGTTGATAAGTTCAATCATTGAAGTTATCCAAAACATCTTCAAATTTGAATGTTACCATTTATTGTTACAGAGTAGTTACAGAACTTTACAATGTAAAATAAAAAATACTTTTATTTACTGAAAGTAATGAAACATTTATATGATGATTATCTATGAAATTTAAGTATTATACAAAATTTAATACCATAACTTATTGTTTTAATTATTGAAATTATTGCATTACTGCAGCTACTATCAAATATTTGTTAGTAATTTGAAATATGTATCTATAGTAGTTACAGATCTTCATGAAATCAAAGCTTAAATATAAATACTTTTCTTAGCTAACTTTGTAGGATACTTTTGGTTCTGAATCTATGGAAGTGCATGTCTTCAGTTGTTCTTTGTAAGCATTGCAAGAGTTGATGGTAGCATTACAATCAACGGTATATAAGCAAAGCATCGATGCCTCCTTCCAATTCCGTTGAGTTCGTTGTTATTTTTCCGATTCGCCGATGAGAGAATCGCGGATCTTGAGTGCACGGTCTCTCGCATTTGCATTTTCCGTTTGTCGTCGTTTCTCTCCAACCAATCTACCAATGTGCGCTCGTACGTTTATATGCATGTGTTTGTAAGGTATATGTACGTGTATGTGTATAGTTAAGAGGCCGCCGTTGGAAGAAGGAACGGACGAAAAAAATAAAAATATCGCGCGCAGAACCAACTTATAGGTCGTGTCGATTTACAGATTGACATCTAAATAGAGATGTCCATAGTTGGGATTCATTGCGCCATGAAACGAAAATAATGTGTACGTACCAGCTTAAACGAACGTTCCATTCCATTCGCGAAACGTTGCACAAATCGATATTGCCAGGACGATCGTAAAGCGAAATTTTAATTAACCACAATCCGCATTCAAATACTGTCCAGAAGAAATGACCCTTCCACTGCTGCTTCTCCATCCTTCATGATCACAACACTACCAAATATCCAATAAACACAATTCACAAACTTCAGTTTTATGACATTTTCTTCAATGTCAAACTTATTGACAAATATCATTGTCCCAAAACAAACAAAGCTATCTCAATTCTTTGAAAATGCATTGAAAAATAAATTTTTGTTTATAATATATTTTATCAGGTAAAATTTACTAAATTATTTATAATTTCATACAAAGTAATTATTGTTTATGTTGTTTTTAGTTCTTATTTCAGATTAGTTAATGAGGATAATTTAATACCAATGTTAACAATGAATTGTTTTGTCTGGAGTACATAATATCCAATTCTAAATTCCAAAATTCAAAAAAAGAGGTAAAATATTAAATATTTAATTTATATTTTTTCATAATAATTCTTAAACAAGGTAAATTTCCTCTTAAAATATAATTATAAACTTTTAGAAAACAATTAATTAATATACTAACGACTAAAGGTATCCCCCGACTTACGAACTCCCTGACTTACGTACAAAATTCTAAAAGCTCTAACTTGTTACAAATTGTCCAAACAAAAATTGATAATTTCTTTAATAAAATATAATATTTTTGGAAGATGTACTATCTGTTTTGTTGCATTTGTTTCTTTTGTCGTTTTTTATTAAATATAATATTTTTGGAAGATGTACTATCTGTTTTGTTGCATTTGTTTCTTTTGTCGTTTTTTATTAAATAATTGTGATGTCTACATTGAAAAGTATTTGTAAGTAAGTTATTTGATTGTGATGTCTACATTGAAAAGTATTTGTAAGTAAGTATTTTGTCTATTTTAATCTATTTTTTCAAATTTATGCACTCAGTAATACGGAATTTAACATATAAACCATGATGATAAGTATATTTTTCAATTTTTCAATTTTTTTTTTAATTAATTTTGTTTTGAATATTGTTAATAAATTAAAATTGTTTGTTTGTTATGTTAATTGGGGTTAAATTAGTATAATTAATATTAAGTTTCTTGGAATGACTTAATCTGTTTAACAAATATCATTTAAGTTGCAATATCATCGTCGCATAAATGAATCAATAACAATTATTATTATCAGCTGAGACAAATTCGTCCTAGATACTCAAAGGAATCATATAAATTAGAATACTATTAACCTATTGGGAAATTGAAACTCTCCCATTATGAAAATGCGCAGCAGAAGAATTTCCTCGTCATTTTGTTTGTTTTTTCATGTACGCAACAAAATTGATAAAACAAGTACAATTTCGAGTATGCTGTTCGACTGCAATAAAGTTGAGTCTGTTAATTAACGTTTTGATGATTCCTGTTAATATTTCCGAGAATGGGTTTTAATTAATACGCAGATAATTGCAATTGGATGGGAAAATGCACGTTGCAGTTGTTGTGCTCGCTGATGATGATGGCATCACGGAAATCGCGATTTAATTTACGAAAGGTGCGTTTAGGTTAATCAGTAGTATCGGAGGATGAGTGTGCTGTGCAGTGTTGTGTGTATGCGGTATGTGCATGGGTGTACGTATGGACATGGGACATGGACGTGGACATGGTATGGGCACCGAGAGGCATCTCTCTTAATCCAACAGAACAAGTGCACGTCGACGACTTCTGGTCTGGTGGCAACAACATCCACTCTAGGTAAACCTTTGCTTTTCCCACGGCCATCGAACGAGAGTCCGATCGAAACAATACGCGCTCGCAACTCACTATTGATCAACGCTGTCCATTAGTCTGCGATTCCAAACATGTTTCCACTCTTCACTCCTTCAGCACCCGAAAGCGAGGCACGTAACCGTCCAATATAAAAACAATACCGGGAAAAATAAAGGCGATGCTACAACAAATGTATTTACAATGTGAACAAGATCTCGACGAACGATGTCGGCTTCGCGAAATTTCTCCAATCTAATTGGACAAAAATCATCCATACAATTGGAAACATAAATATCATAAGAAAAAGTAATAACAAGAATCAACTCATTAACCATAATTTGTTATTTAACTAATTCTTGTTAATTTTTATGTTTTAGATTCTTGGTCTTTTTGTATGTTACAAATATTGTTTTCTTGACTAATTTTTGATTTTTGTATTTTTGGGCATCTAAAATTTGTTAAATATTATGGTTTCTTGTCAATTTTTGAAAGAAATAAAGAAAAGAAAGAATGAAAAAATTAAAATCAAGAAAAATATAATATTATACTTATAATTTCTCATCTAACTATGATTTATAGTTATCATCTTAATATTTCCAATTGGATATTCGTTGAAAATTTGTTCAATCTATTTATTTGATTATTTTTTATTTTATTTTCATCGTTGTTTCCTACAAAATCAGTATTTGAATTCTTTAATCATATAAAATAGCTATGTATACAATTTTACGTAGAAATTATCAATAAATAGTGTTAATAATAATAGTTTGTATTATGGTTGTTGTAATAAATGTTATTATAAAAATTACTTCAAATAGAACACTTGTATAAGATCTTATTAAACTATTTGCTTCAATTTGAATGAAGAATTAGTAAAATATAAATATTACAATGATGCTTAAATTTATTTTGCATTTTTAATATTTGTTTCAGGAATATGAAGAAAGACAAAGATATTAATTTGTTTTGAAACCGCTGATCTCTTAATATTTTCAACAGAAAAACAAAACGCAAGCAACCGACGGAGGCACGCGGCGAGCATCTTGATGATGATGATGATGATCACGATGATGATGATGATGCAGTCGCTCACATGTCCGAGCGCAAACCTTATTGTAAATCATACGGCGATGCGGTTTATTGACATTCCTCCGCTGATAAATTTCGAATTGCGTAACACCGGGTCGGTCTCCTTCTCCTTGCAAATTAAAGATTATTAAATTAAAGATCAATCGAATCGAAAGAACAAATTAAACTTACAAAATCATTATCTGGTTCTTCAAACCTGAAATTGTATTTATGTTCAAATTCCTCTTGCTTCCTAATTTGTTCATCATCTTCTGATAGATCCTTATCAGAGTCATGCACAACTTCATCATAAGTAGGAATGTAACTGTCATCATCATTATCCATGAATCTTTTATTTAAAATATAATCCTTCAGGAATTTCTCTCCTTCATTGAGCTCAGGATTATTCCAATAGTCTTTCAGTGGTTTCAAATCCTTGGCCGCATCATTATTATCACTAATTTTTGATTGACCCTGCAACCATTTCTTATAATCAACCTCATCTTTCTCTTCCTCCTCCTTAGATTTTGTCCTTGTTTGAAACATTCCACCCCATTCACCATCATCTTCATCATCAACACTGTTTAATGCCTTTTTTAAATTCCTCTTCAAGTTTTCCTGTTGTTGCACAAATGTCGGAGATCTAAATAATAAAAGCACATTTAAATAATATATTTCTTAAATTAAAACCAGTTTATATAATTACTGTGCTCTTGGATTTTCCTGTTGCTCTTCGTCATCACTTACGACTCCTCCATTCTCAAGCAACATTTTTCGTTCATAATCTTTGATGTAAATTGGTTTATCTTTAGTTTTCATTTTTGTTGGAGCTTTGATGACTTCATCTCCGAAGAAACGCACATTTTGATCATAGATTTTTGGATCTTTGTTCTTCAAGCTGGACAAAGTTTTGAAGAAATTCAAATCCATTTTCTCATCCATTTTAAGCACTTCATCATCATCATCTGAGCAACTGCTGGGTTCATCATCACTGTCATCATCAAAACCAAATTTGGTTTTCACTGTAAAAGATAAACGTAAATACGGAATTCTATTTGTTGATATGTTGGGTTCGTTATTACTTACTTCGCATCAATTCCTCTTTCTTCCTCCATGTATTGTATGATTTGGCGTAATCATTATTACTTCTAAAAGTAACCTTTTTCTCTTCATCGTCGGAATTATCAAATAAAGGTTTTGGCATTTTCGCACATAGATTGTAGGTTAACTAAAAGCATGTAAGTCAAAAAAATTACTGGTGATTCCTAACATTCCTGCTTAACTTTATAAAGACAATTGCCAACAGATAAAAAATAAATGGTCGTGAACAAATACAAATCTTTTAATTATTTTATCAGATTTAAAACATAAATTAAACTATTTGTATTTAAATGCTATAATAGTTTTAATAAATTTTCACTTAAGTTCAATATAAATTAAGTTATTGGTGAACTATAAAACAGTTGGTATACCCGATTTGTTGACAATATTATTAGACAGTCATCCATTAAAAACATAACCTTTTTACAAGAAGCCGATTACAAAGCAGAAAAAAACAAATTTCAATCGAAATGGAGTGCCTAATTGGAATTAAATTCAGAGATTTCGTGATGATCGCTGCCGATATGACGAATGCACACAGCATTATGGTCATGAAATCAGGTACGTTCGAAATGCAGAGTTTTGTAGTCGGTATTAACATTTGTATGTACGATTGTTATTGCAGATGAGAATAAACTGCATCAACTGAGCGATAAATTAATTATGGCTGTATCTGGTGAGTCTGGAGACACCACACAGTTCGCTGAATACATTGCAAAGAACATCCAGTTATACAAGATGAGAAATGGTTACGAGTTGAGCCCCAAAGAGGCTGCAACTTTTACCAGACGCAATCTGGCTGACGCTTTAAGATCTAGAGTAACATAAATTGTTTCTTCAGATACACTGTTCCATGTTATTAACAACATTCACTTGCAGAATGCTTACCATGTAAACCTATTGTTGGCTGGTTTCGATGAATTCAGTGGACCGGAGCTGTATTTCATGGACTATCTGGCATCTCTGACATATGTAAACTATGCTGCCCACGGATACGGTGGATACTTTTCGTTGGCGATCATGGATCGTCACTTTGTGGAAACAATGAACGTGGACGAGGCTTACGAGCTCATGGAAAGATGCGTGAAGGAGGTGCAGCATCGTCTTATTGTTAACCTTCCGAATTTCAAAGTTAAAATTATCAGCAAGAATGGCATCAAGGACATGCCCGACATCACTGCTGAAACTGTCAAGAAACTTGTAAATTAAGCGATATTTCATAAACTTTTTCTTTTTCCAATATTTAATAAAATTATTTTATAAGAGTTTTTTTTTTTTCCAATTAATGCAGTAAATTTGTTATATACTAATATGAAGATATTCAGAAATTCAAATTAAATCTACTGATCCTATATAACATTGTTTTGTTTAAAAGATTTTAAAGCATACTTTGTTTTTTTTTTCTACAGTTATCACTTTTCAATCATCTGGTTTTCTTGTAGACCAGCAGTCTTTATTGACTGAGTTTTTGTAAAGTAAACATCAAAATTCTTATGCAATCATATATTCCCAGATATAACATCAGCTTAATTGCACTTAAGGTAATATAATTTGAACTTGTTTATTATGTAATGCGTTATAATAAATCTATTAAAAATGAACAAATATAAAACGAGTCGAATGATAATTTATAATTTGAATGCAAGTCATTTGGAAGGCGATTTCTAAAATAAAATCAACATAATGGAAATTGACCTATATAAATACACATTAATAAGAATATAGACATTTAAAAAAATATATTTTTTCACTGGAGGGGGGGGGACTTCATTATGTAACTGGAATGCAAAACAAACATATCAAATATATCTTCTCTTGTTTCATACTGTTTAAAAAAAAAAATGACAAATAACAATATAAGTCACGTTGTGCGTACAATCATCAAATATTAAATTAAATAAACAAATATCTCAAAAATAAAAAACAAAATAATACATATAGAATTTCCTGGTTAATTTATTTCACTTTCTTGACTTCGCTCTTGTTTTTCTCGGCTTCCTCCTTCAATTGCTCTTCAGGAGTATCTTCGTATCTGTTGGAGGAGAACGGCATTAAAATTTATAAGTAAAAAAACATAAATATAAATATTCTATTGGATTACTTACTTGAACATAGTCTTCAAATCGCCTTTAATCAAAGCGAGCAACAGGGGCGTTCCTAAACACGCAGGTACCAAATATAAAAGGGCGGGTTGAGCGTGTTTGAAAATGTGCATAACCAGAATGGTCGTCATTAAACCTAAGAAATAAGCGAAGCACGTCGCATAGAAGTAGGTATTCGTCTTCCTCTTAAGACTTTGATCGAATCGAAGCAACAGGGCGATGAAGATGCCGGGGATGACGATATCACCCAGACCAAGCATAGCAAAATTGTTGGCAGCTAATCCGTTGGTGAGAAGATCTTGCGGGAAAATTACTACAATCAATATAAGATTAGTTGTTTTCTCCATATTAGATTAGATGCCTCATCAACATACGTTTGATCGGAGCTTCGAAGCTTTTGGCAACGGTTACCATAACATCTGTACCGAACACCCAGAAGATATCGTACAAGAATAAACCGCATAACAGAATGCAACCGGTGACAACGTTGTTCAAGTGCAGCAATTCAACAGCATTTACAGCGAAAGCGAATCCAAACAGGTTGTTGGCAATCCAATGCTTTTGCCACAGATACCAAGCACCGAACACCGAGCAGCATGCCAAGGAGACGACATCATAAGACGTGAAATTGTAGTTTATAATGTCTTTTGCTTTGCTGCCTGTGCCTTGACAGAACAACAGATTGTACTGTTCGAAGGGAATCGCGCTTGGCATCAGCTTACTACACAAAGGACTGAAAAATTTAAAATGTATCATTATCAAATGGAATTCTTATAAGAATTCAATTTACCTTAATAAATGAGTGAGGGCCAAGATGCCCAAAAAGAAAAAGTAACCGGTCAGCAGTAAGTTTATGTACTCTTTGGAGAACAGCTTGAACACGATGTAAAGAGAGAACAGAGCGCAGGAGGCCATTATGGGGAACATCATTGCATCTTTCGTAGTCATCTTCTCAGCTTTCTAAAATAACATCAAGCATATGTGAATTAATAACCTAAGCTAAGGAACAGAACAGACATGAGGTGATTATTTTTTTTTTTTTTATAATTACAAATTTATTTTTTTTTGCGAAACTTACATTTTCCTTATGGAAATTTACGGATCGGAAGGAACCGATGTAAATTGGCAATATAGCCATGATCACGAGACTCCCGTAAGCCACGACCATACCTTCAGGAGTGCCCGGCGTCTTCGTCGTTGCATTAGCTGCATTTTCTGTTAAATTTTCTTGAGCCTGTGCCACGAATAACTTCATAAAGTCTGCCATGTTTTGAAAAATCTGACACGCGTCTGAAGCTGCATATAAATCTTTTTCTTTTATATGCGAACTACAATGTCTACCAACATATAAATGTTAAATATTAGTAATCATATCAACGTTATCACTGAATAATATTCTTAGATTAAAATATAATAAAATAATTTTGTTGAATAAGAATCGTTCATTGATATTGCGTCTGTGTAATTAATTATTAGCTGTACAAAGGGAAGCTATAGGTGCATTTTAAATGCATCACTGTCAATGCATTGTGGGATATTGCATCACATTGGAATTGATTGGAATCATACACCTTTTCTTCGACAAAAATATAGTACGTGTACTTTCGAAGCAATTTGATTGGTACTTTGATGATTTACTTTCTAACATTTAGATATGCAAAAATTATGAAATTTTCTAGTAATTTTACTAGCAAACTGGGTTAATTTACTTCTTTTATTGTTGTATTATGCAATTTAATACAGTATTTATGATACAATTTAAATTGAACCAAAAAATCTTATTGGTACCAGAGAGTACCAACTTGCACCAATTTGTCAGTTGTTTTTTTAATAATTCTAAGAAACTTTTCCAACATTGGTGTATAATAAAATTATTAGTAATAAATAGTGAGATGTGTAATGTATAAAGTTTTCAATGTTTTTGAAAGATTACGTAAAATGGGATTTAGGGAAATAAAAAAAAGTTGTATTATGCAATTTAATACTGTATTTATGATACAATTTAAATTGAACCAAAAAATCTTATTGGTACCAGAGAGTACCAACTTGCACCAATTTGTCAGTTTTCTTTTTAATAATTCTAAGAAACTTTTCCAACATTGATGTATAATAAAATTATTAGTAATAAATAGTGAGATGTGTAATGTATAAAGTTTTCAATGTTTTTGAAATATTACGTAAAATGGGATTTAGGGAAATAAAAAAAAGTTGTATTATGCAATTTAATACAGTATTTATGATACAATTTAAATTGAACGAAAAAAATCTTATTGGTACCAGAGAGTACCAACTTGCACCAATTTGTCAGTTGTTTTTTTAATAATTCTAAGAAATTTTTCCAACATTGGTGTATAATAAAATTATTAGTAATAAATAGTGAGATGTGTAATGTATAAAGTTTTCAATGTTTTTGGAAGATTACGTAAAATGGGATTTAGGGAAATAAAAAAAAGTTGGTACTATTTTTTTTTTCTTTCAGTTGGACAAATAAGATGTTTACTTGTTGATTTTGAAATAAGTTATGTGTGCGGTTTTCGTCTTGTGCGATTATTTTTTATTGTAAACAGTTGTAGGTTACGCGCGATTTCAATTTGAATGTTATTAATCGGTCGACTTCGGGATTACCCTTCGCGCAATGTTGACAAGAGGAAAGAGGTTGCAGCAGCAACAGCAAGAGCAGCACCGGACCTGCCCTAGCCCAATAATTTGCAACATTGCCATTAAACAACCGGAATTGAAGAAAAATCAATCGAAGAGACAGAAGAAGGGTCCGACGACATCATTTCCAAAGGGGTCCAAAACAGCCGGCAAAGTGGGGAAGGTAGCGTCAAAAATCGTGAGGCTGGTGGTAGGAGAGGATGAAGAAGATACAAAGTCAAAGGTAAAAGCCCCTAATCAAACTGCTTCTTCTGATGGACCAGGTATTGCAAATATGTTACAAATATTGTTGCAACATAATAATAACACAATTCACAATAATCTAGAGTACGTTGATATAAATGACATCATGACTGAGGATGAAGATTTTGATGGGAGACCAAACATGCACTGCACTAACTACACTAGCTTTGACATGGACTACCATTATCCCTCTATTATGGAATACTATTATCCATCTAAGAAGGATTACCATTATCCCTCTAACATTGGCTATCATTATCCCTCTGATGGCTCTTACCTCTCAAGTTACCTCATTTCTCGCACCAATTCTGAGGAAGTTTACAACCCAGTATCATATTCTTTTCTTAAACCACGGCCATTATATAGCAGATACAGAAGAGAATTTGGAAGACTTTCGAATTATTTTGATGACTATTATAGAGCTCAAGTAGAGGCATTCTATAGAAATGCAAATATTTCAAGACAAAAAATGGGTACATTTAAAATGCAGAGAAAACCTCAACCAAAGAAAATTAAAACTAAACAGAAGATCATCCAAACTTCAAGCACTCCAAAAAAGATAACTGATATTGCAAAATTGTTAAAAGATGCATCTGCAAAAAAAATAGTAAAAATCAATACAACCCAAATTGTTGACAGTACTGGTAATTTACAAGCTGAGGATTCAATTAACAATGAAGATAATTCTGAGGTAAACAACAATGAATCAAATCAGGTTGGAAGTGGTCCAATTACAGTGGAGGCTGATGATGATGTAGTTGATATTACCAATAATGATCAAGTCGTGGAGATTATCAATGAGCCAGAAGTCATTACTGAAGTTTTGGAGGAGGACAAGTTAGCACACATAGAGATTTTTGAGACTGCACCATTAGAAGAATATGGCGTTCTCACTTATTATATTTCGAGCGATGATTCAGACGATGATATGTCGACGAAATCTTGCAAAATTGTTGGGACTTATGAGAGAAACGTTGCTGTAATTAAAAATACTGAGAAAGAGGCAGAGGAAAGGTCAATAATAATGAAAGAAATATCTGAAGTCAAGGGAAAATCAAATGAAATTAATGACGAAGAAAAGAACAAGAGTGATAACGTTTCAACGGAAAATTCGAGTCAGCAAACAAACAATAAAAATGATATGCATGTAAGCGTGAAACCAAAAGAGATAACAAAACCAAAGATTACAATTATTGAATTAAGTCCAAGTACTGTTGAGAGACTGAGTATGGGTGAGTTAAATAAACAAAGCGACGTTTTGTATATATCGAGTGACGAGGAGAGTAATGAGGACGTGAAACTTGACGAGGCTAAACAAGAACAGACATGTCCTATAAATGCGCTCGGCGTGCAAACGCCACCAACAATGGAAGGATTAAAACCATTGTTTAATAACGCCGAAGTTTTTCAGGCAGACACCAAAGGCTTCCAGGCAAAATTTAAATTACCCGAACCGGCATCAACTGTACAGAATCTACAAGACGACCTATCGTTAATATCAGACGAGGAGGACAGTGTTATATTAATTGAGCCACCGATTGCAGATATGGCAAGCCAGGCATCGACGAGCAATGCGACTAGAGGTAGTTCGAATGACCTTTCATTCCCTTATAGTAGACACGTAGGATGTTTTATAAAAAAACAATAATTAAATTCAAACTTCTTCTTGGTTTAGAAAATGCTAATAACTCGAAAGCGGTAAACAAAAGGAAGAAGACAGACGACGATGCAGGCACCAAGCAGAGAAAAATTAACGAGTACGAGACTTCGTTGACCGATTCGAAGATCATTGCAGACAAGTTTGACATTGATAGGAGGACAGCAGAAAATATTGTTAAGTTTTTCGAACAAGATTATACAATTCCCTTTATAGCAAGGTACAGGAAGTCTGACATAGGCCACCTGGAGGCGAATGTCTTGAGGGAGGTGAAGGATACGTACGATGAAGTCTTGGAATTGCGTAAGAGGAAGACGACGGTTTTAAAGAATCTAGTTAAAAGGAACGATGAAGATTTGAAGAAAGCAATCATGGATTGCACGAACATCGATGAGCTCAATTCATTGGTTATTATTATTAACTGATTATAATAGTTACAATTAAATATTAGAATATTTCCTTTTAGTATTTACCTTTTGCTTCATCGCGCGTGAATAAACTGAGCCAAGCTTTAGAGAACGGATTGGAAACTGTGGCTATGAACATTCTTGAAAATAAAAAGGAGGAGAATCTGATGAGTTGCGTGAGACCGAATGTAGAGTCCATCTCCGATATTATTAAAGTTGAACAGGCCGTCGTTTTGATATTGGCCAATCACATATGTTCAAGACCGGAGATACTCAAGTTCATCGATTCAGAGTAATGTCGATCACGTAATGAAACTTATAAATCTCTCTTATTGACGCATCTCATTTGCAGGAAGAGATTGGACAAGTTCATAGTTCAAAGCAAGAGGTCTAAATCGCCACGCACCAAGGTTTATCCGAACCTTCAGCACATGAAAGAGGAAAGAAAATACGAGTCGTATTATAATTTCACCATGAAAGCTTCGAAAATTTTACCGCATCAAGTAAATCTATTGCTTGCTTATTTTTAATCCTTACTTATTATACGTTTCTTAATTTGCAGATACTAGCTTTGAACCGTGGTAAGGATAATAAGATGCTTTCAGTTCTGTACACGCACGCCGACAGCTTTTTGGATAAATTCATTGGAGTTTGCACTAAAAAATGGTATATTGATTGGTTCACCAAACGCGGGAAGCTGTTGAGACAAGCGATTCAATATGCCTACGACAAAATTGGTACATTTTTATTTAATTCATTTCAAAATATCAAAATTCAAAGCGACTTTTATGAAATTTCATCATTCTCTCATTGTTCATAAACGTCTTGTTATATAACATACAGGAATACAACGTTCAGCAATTGGGAAGCAGCGTTGGTACATGTTTATGGAAATGTTTTTATTCCCGCTTTGTTCTTTATTATTTCGACCTGTCACGTAGTTTTATTATTTCTTATGCAATAGGTATGTCCAATTGGTCAATATCTTTTTACTCACAAAAATTTCATGGTAGTCTTATTATTATTATTATTAATCGGGAGTTGAATTCAATTCCAATATGCAAATTAAGAACTGTGTACATATTGGCTGGATTATTTAAACGCGTTATTTATAAAATTATGCAGTAGTTTAACTTCTTAGGCGTTAATTCAATTTACGAAGAAAAAAAAATGAGCTTTAAAGTTTTGTAATTAAATAACCCTGCCTATGTATTTTTAGAATAGTTCATAATTTTGATTTGATCAAGTTCATTTCCAAACGACTTTTAACGATGTCTTTATTTTCTAGAATGTTTCATTTAAAGTGTGTGCATAGATTCCCTGCAAAAAAAAAATAAAACTACGTGAGAAGTTTATTTGTTAATGGTAGAAACTCGCTCTTTTAAGTGTGATATAACGGTACAAGTCATCCTTGGATCGTCGTGTCTGCTGTAATTGATGTATTTGAACAAGCTCGTTGCATTTGGACGTGTTTTCCTCGATGGTTATCTGTACTGTTTGTATTTATTACGACAATAACGTATTGTGTTTTAGTATGTCCCATAATACAAAAATATGTAAAGGCTACTCTCAAAATGAAAGCGGAGAAATGTTCCATAAACGTTTTTTCGAACAATTTGCGGCAGATCTTGTTGAAAGCGCCGATCAAGGGAAGACCGGTCCTTGGAATTGATCCGGGTTTCAAGAACGGCTGCAAAATGGCGTTGATCTCGCAGAGTGGTAGCATTGTGGAGACGGCTATTATTTATCCGCACGTGATTGCGAGCAGAAGAAACATGGATGATCTAACTTTGCAATCGATGTTACTTAAGTATAGGTGAGCAATTTGGTTATGATTTCGTGATGATTACGATCTGTACAAATGTACGTATGATTCTTGGAATAGTTGCACTTTGGTTGCACTGGGGAACGGAAAAGGATGCAAGGAGACGGAGATGTGGTTGGCCCACTTAATCCAAGCGAACTTCTTCGCACCTTTGGAGGTCAAGTACGCGATCGTAAATGAGAGTGGTTCATCCATTTACTCTTGCAGTCGAGAGGCTGCTGAGGAATTTAAAAAAATGGATCCATGCTTGATTAGTGCAGGTATACTCTTATTTCTTGATGTAGATACATTTTGAATATTGTCTACTAAAAATGTATTGCAATTGTGTTTTCTTCAGTGCATTTGGCGCGCCGTTTTCAAGATCCTTTATTGGAGTTGGTTAAGGTGGATCCGAAACATCTGGGCGTAGGGATGTACCAGCACGATTTGCCCGAATCAAAATTGCAAAAGGCTCTGGACACGGTCATTTCTGAATGCGTGAGCAACGTCGGAGTCGATTTGAACACCGCTTCTCTCTATTTGCTAAAGTATATTAACATCCTTGATTCACTTAAGAAATTGCTTCATAGACATTCCTTTTTCAGGCACGTCTCTGGATTGACAAGCGCTCGGGCTGCTAGTATCATAGCCTACAGAGAAGCAAACGGATTGTTCAAATCCCGCGAGCATTTAAAAAAGGTACGTGGAATTGGCGAAAAAACTTTCGTACAATGCGCTGGATTTCTGAAGATTATGGAGAGCGATATCAAAAACAAGCTTGATTCGACCATCATCCATCCGGAATCGTATGATGTTACGAGGAACATATTACAAGAGCTGAATCTGACGATCAGTGATATCGGACAGAAAACGTTCATTGCCAAAGCCAAATCGTCGACGTACAGATTGTGCGAGCGTTACCACGAATTTGGTGTATCTAAAGAAAGCATGAAGCTGATACTCGAAGCACTTTCAGAGCCTCTGGATTACGATTTCAGAGGGGAGTTCGAGATAAAACCGTTGATGCACAAAATAGTTACCAGCATGAAGCAGCTAAAAGTTGGTCATATATTGGAAGGACGTGCAACGAATCTGACAACCTTCGGGTGTTTCGTGCACGTGGGATGCGAGAAGGATGGTCTGATCCCATCCAAGGAATTGGAAAACGTCGTCCTCGGGATCGGGGATAAGATACAAGTTGAGGTTTTGTCCTTCGACGCATTCGCATTGAGATTAAGTCTTAGATATTTAAAGCATGTCTGAAATATCGATCTAAACCAAAGGAACAAACTGATAATTGTACACAAGTATTTTATTTTATTTAATGTACTTCGAACTATTTTTTTATCTATTTATGAAAAAGATCCATTAATTAGATAAGATTAGTCGTTGTTGAAAGTAAGGTTTTGTTAGCTTCGAAATTTATTATTTCGCAGAATTAGTAATCCAATGGAAATAAGTGAATGTTAGTTGCGTGTGTTCGATTACAAAATCGTCGTTATATATTCAATCATCTCAATGTCTTTTAGAAAAAAGAAAAAAATAGTAATATTATTCGGTGTCAAAGTAAATGTCGTTCGTGTATCTTTCCCTCAGTGTCGCAAAACAAAAAAGAAATTGGATTAACCAACTCAAAGCTTAAACTGACAAAAAAAAAAGATAACTTAACTTTCAAAAATGACTTCGTATCTATTTAATGTCTATGTTTTAAAATGTAATAAATGTTTATCCCCTATAAATATTAATGATTATTTATTTTGCTTATCAAAATTATTAAGGATTATTAAGTAAATAACAAGAAACAAGTTTAAATGAACATAAATTAATTTGAAGAGCATTAGATTAAGTCCGCAAATGTTTCATTCTTTATACTTCTGGTGGCCATCAGCAAAGCGCCTTCTTTGGTTGCGTTGCCTCCTATAAATCCGTTGCCATGGCAGAAAATGCAACCAGGAATATTGCTAACTTCCGAAAGTTGTTTATCTCTGAGACCCATCCAATCTTTATGTAGGAAAACACTAAAATATACAAGCATAATGGAAATGTTCGCTTTATGAATAGTCCGGCGATCATTTACCGGCAGATAAAACTATCTGGTTGTACCGGAATCCCTTGTACTCTCCAAGATCCGTTGCTGTCTGGGTAAATTACAAACTTGATCTGATTGCTCATGCCCAACTCTTCCTCTAATTGTAGTAAATGCTCTTTCCATGGACACGGATCCGACAGTTGTATGACTGCACCCGATTCGTGCGTAATCAATCTCGTCTTAATGGCATTCTTAACGATGAAACGAGCAGGCCACCAAACCGTAACCAACTGAAAATATAATTAATTCTTCATTCTTGTTTTCACAGTTTTCTTTTACCGTACCTCAACTAGCTTATCTGTGAATTCTGCCCCAGCCAATTCCATTGCTTTATAGAATAGATTGTCAGAATCATTTTTAACAGTGGAATTCCAAGAAGGGTTCAATTTTGAAACTCTTGCACCCAAGTGAGTGTTAATTCTATATTTGGGTTCACCCCCGTACATTGGAACACCATTGTCAAGAGCATCAAGTTCTTCAATTAAACCATCATAGAGAGCAATGAAGATAACATCTATAACGTCTGTAGATAGAGCGTGATCTTTCTTCTCCATAATTGTACTTATAACATCCTTGCCATAATGTGCATAGACTAAACCAGCACTGCTCAACCTAATACAAAACAAAAACAGCAAATTTAAGAACTGTAAAACTGAAATGTGTGTACTATTCTTTCGGTTTTCCAATACGAAACGCATTACCGACGAAAACCGAGGTATCACTGTATATACTGAAGAATTACAATCTAGTTCAGGAGATATGTAACATTTTTCTATGGTGGTGGATACTTACTTGATGTGCTTGTTTTTTGCAACATCTGGAAGCACTGTTGACAATGTTTGATTGAAACTTCTTTGGTGATGATCATATCTTTTCTTCTCATGATCGTAAACTGCACCAACATCCACAACGATGTCACAAGCATCTAAAATCTTTAAAAAGTTTATTAATTAATACAAGCATGTAGAATGAAATTAACCTAAAAAATGTTCAAAATAAAACTTACCGCTTGATCTCTGGTTCTCTTAATTTCAGCATCGGCATATTCAGGTAACTGTTTCAGCATGAAGCATGCCAATGCTTCATCGCAATGAAATACACCATTGTGTGTGCCTATAGCCTTCATAATCCTTGGAGTCTTTGGAGCACTGCTCATAGTTTTAAAACTACAATGAAAATGTTAGAACCAGACTGCAGTTCAGGGTTTAATTTATCAAACTGACCCCTTCCACACGTTCAGACCAACTTTTACTGTTTTCTCAAGTAAATTGCCGTTCAAAGCCATGCAACCTAATTTTGTATTTCAAAAGCGTGGCTCGCGGATGCAGTTAGAAATTGCTAATACAATGAACATATGATTCCTTGTAAAATGGATTGCCTATAGGAATGTGGGGAATCGAGAGGTGCTGCCATCGAGTAATAAAAATTCGAAAATAATATCAATTGATTTAATAAATACAAAGTTAGTTAGTTTTAAAAAATAAATCATCTCTAAAGTTATTCCATCCAATAAAACCGAAATTCGCATGTTAGTGGCCCACAATGTTTAGCAACTATTCACATAAATTTACAACATAAATATAAAATATCCATATTTTTTTTTTCTTCGCTTCTTTCCTTTTTGCTACACATTATTTACAAATAAATAAAATATCTATCTACATTTAAGTAATATCCAAGTTTTAAAAGACTTCCTTGCGAAAACTGAATCCGTACTGATCGCATTTCACCCTCAGGATTCGCGCAAGTTGTGGAGGACCGCAGTAGAACACGGTGACTTTGCCTTTCTTCTGATCCAAGATTTGTTTGAACACTTTATCCCAATTTGGTCGACCTGCGTTGGTGCGAGTCTTCAATCCAGTGATCAAATCGCGTTTTTCCTAAATATCGAACAATTAATCAATTAATATGTCGGACAATCGATTAGTGCTAATTAACCTTTTCATGGAGCAAATCAAGTGCAAGTTGGAGACCCACAGCTTTCATATCGGTTTTCTGCAATGCACTTGTGATATACATGTGCATCTCCAAGAATCTCTCCATAGCTCCTCCAAGCTCGGCCTGTTCAATCTCTAATTGCGAAAGCAAATTTACGAACCATTCGAAGGATCGCTGATCTCTGTTAATCCAGAAGAAATCGACCTAGAATATTATATTTATATTATCACTTATTCCTTGAAGTTGTGATATGTTTTTTTTTACTTTGCGCAAATTCATTACTGTCGGAGGTATTTCGCTAGCCCACGAAAATTTGCACCTAGGGCAGCTATGCCTGGCTTTCCAATATCGGTGCATGATGGATTGGAGGATAGAAGCGAATGGTGTAACTCCTATTCCAGTACCAATGAGGATAGCGTGTTGTGCTCTGAAGATGTGACTTGATGGAGCTCCATATGGACCGTCCAAGGAGATCTAAAAACGCATTACATTTTTATACAACAGATCTTAGAAATTTATGAGAGATTTCGGAAATAGTTTGCGAGCGAGAGAGATAACACAAAAGCACACTCAAAAGATACATAGACACAAAGCTACCTCCGTTCTGTTGCCCAGTGGCATTAATATCAGACGACGCACTTTATTCACGCAATCTTTAATCCCGTAGATCGTTCGATTCGTGTAACGCTTTTTAATCTATATAAAACGACACAAAATTTCAATATAAACAAATATATATCAATGAAATCACGTGAAATTGAAATTGTTTTCAAGTTACCTCTAGTGGTTTTCCTACAGGATAATTCATCGGTTTGGCTGAAACCTTTCCAGGAGGTGAAAGCTCCTGAATCTGAGCACCGACCAATCCCTCTTCCGCCGTTCTCTCAGGAGTAGAACTGAAGCTCAAACTACTGATTTGTCTTCCTGCAATAAAAATCGGTATTAAGGAAAAATAATTATGTAAAAAATGTTAACATAAACTTGCCTACAGATCCTAAGGAGCTGCTGGAATCCCTTTGTTCGCAATTCTCTAAACTTGGCGTTTTGAACGCAATGATTGTCGGCTTGTTCCTCATGTATCTGAAACTCTGAGCAAGAGATTTATTCTGTGGACTGAGATAAGCCAATCCCAAAGACTGTAACCGAGCTCTGCGTATTTGACATTCGTCAAAGCTTTTCTCTGATTCTGATCTCATGTATTCCCTTAATCTAAAAAAAATAAAATATTTAAATAAGTTAAAGCAAAAATTGTAAAAACATTAAATACACTAATAATCTTTCGCGTTTCTTGGCTTTGGTCTGCATATCCGGCATGGACAACGACTTCTCCAATGGGGCTTTGTTCGTGAACAGCAGTTTATGTAATTTCTTTTCAGGAGTCAACTTTCGTTTCGGATCTGGCGTGGTGCTGCTGCAAGGAGCGCTAACTAGATCACTTTCCGACGGACTCTTCGTTGTTTCATCTTTGTGGAATGATTCGTTGGTAAATCCGACCAGTTGTATACCGTTTTTGGTTGGATCTCGATTCGAGAAAGTCCGTTTTATTGTTGCCTGGATCTTTTTCATGGGTCCATTGTTATTTTCGATGCTGCCATTCGATAATCGCTTCTTTTCCGAACCCAGGGCTGGTATATCGCCGTTATGTAATTTTTCCTGCTCCTTTTCGAAGTATTCGTACAGCCTATTGGTCCATTGTCCGACGCCTCTGATGTGCAACCACATATAATCTAAAAAATTAGATGTGTTAATTTGTTATAAACAATTTACTAATCTAAGCAGTAACCTTCTTGTTCAGGGGCACTGCTAATCGTGAAAGGATGCCATTCGTATTTAGCTATGGCTGGGATGTTGATGAAGACGTAATCGCCGGGATGGAAATCGAAATGCAGAGGCCTCTTTATTACCAAGTGAGTTACTTTAGAAGGAAGCAATAGTCCAGAACTTATGTACGTCTTTCCCCTTTCGCTCTGCATCCAGATCAATCTTAGTACACGCTCCACTAGATACAAAATACCGGGTATAATGAACCACTTCCAGAAGTTTGGACCGTGAAATATCAGAAGAATCCAGAAAGGGATGTATAGTAAATGGGTCCAATAGAAAATCTGAAATTCACAATCAATTACTTATATATTCCATATTTATTATAAGTTAATAGTTTACCTCGAAGAATCCACTTTTTCTCACGAAAGCTTGACAGCAGAGGAACAAAACTAGAAGAATAACAAATAGCGCAACTCCAGTTGGATTGGCTACTCCTTCAATTAATCCGAAGAGCTTCGGNNNNTTAAAACTTGCACTTACTAAAATTATAGACGTGCATGATGGTATGGAGAACGCTATAGAAAAAAATTAACATTCCCGTTAACTTGTGGAAATAGATATGCTGGTCCAGAGGTAGAAAAGCGCTGAAGCCTCTAGTCCTTAGAAACGTAATGCATTGTCGTAACATCAGAACAAGAACGAACATGCAGTTGAAGTTCAAGCATTGACCTAAAACGAAATAATCATGTTTTATATAAAGTCTTAAATATAATTGTAGAATGCTCAATGATTGATTATAAAAGTAGTGCCATTAAATGATACCTGAAATAAATGAGTAAGCTATTAATTGATGATGATGTTGCAACGGCGTTGTTTTTTTTATGTTGGTTATTATGTAAAATTTATTTATTTTTTCGAATGAGTGTTTGTTTGTTGTTGGTTGTTGTTATCTTATACTGACCGCAAGCCCTGGCAATAATCGTACAAATATTTGAATCCCTGTATTGATAGGCCCTTGTAATGAAAAGGGCGACATTCACGAAAACGAAAGCCGCTAGAAAGATGAGGTAAACGTAATTGTTTTTCACGTAGGGCAACGTGAATTGGTATGGCCTGTATTTCATGACTTTGCCTAAAAACGAGGCTGGCGGTGCTTTGGGTTTAGGTGGAACCAACCATCTGTCAATACTACAAAAACAAAAGAAAAGTTGCAAACAAAAGAACAGAGTAACGCTAATAAACTACGGCACTGCCTAGGATTAGGTAACTATTTTAACTACTTTACAATTAGAGTGAAATATTGAGAGCAAAAGAAAAGAAAAAAATCAACCTGATCGACAGATTCTCGAGAAGTCCTCCGTGCTTTTCCAATTGATATTTCAAGGCTTCGTAGGTGATTGCACCACGATTATTGGTATCGGCATCTTCGAACATGGCCACCGTTAAATCATCGATTTGTTCCTCGCTGAATCTCATCCCGTTCTCTTCCATGCAAGCCCTCATCACATGCTGAAGTTCCTTGTGCTGAATCAATCCATCACCTAATAAACAACAACAATCCATCGACAAATTAATTCAATTAGTAAACAATACATTTTGTGAACGATTTAAATACCATCAAGATCGTAAACTTTAAATAGGAATCGTATTTTATCCTCGGGCGATTGTCCGGCAAATTGGTGCATCGCATCCAAAAACTCCTGCAGCGAAATGGAGCCGGAGTTATCCTTGTCGAAGATTTGGAAAACTCTTTCGGTGAAGAACGGCTGAAAATTTCAATTGATAACAATGTATATCTCGTAAGTGGGTATATAATTTTTTTTTTTTCAATTACATTCTTCGATATAACGATTTTCTTGAAATCCTCCCTGCGGATTTCCTTCTCATTTCCCACGGTCTGTCTGAACAATTGCTCGAGCCACTCGAGGCTGCCTTTATCGAAGCCCGTTCGAGGTCTGAAATTGTAAAAAAAAAAAATAATTACAAAACTCATTTCAATAATTAGTAGAAATATTATTTTACCTAGTATTCGTTATGCTGGCCAGGAAATCCATGACTTGCTCAGCACTGACGGAGCCCAAATTCTCTTGGTCTATCAATCTGAATAGCTTGTCTACGATCTAAAATCATTAATATTAGTATTTTCAAGCCAAATTTCTCTTCAGTTACTCATTTACTCCTTTAGCGTAAAATATTTGATAGAACTGTTCTATTCCGATAGCTTCATCTCCGCACAGACAATAGGCGACACTCTCGATTTGCTCGGCAAAATCGATTTGCTTCTCATCACTGTAAATTATGAAAATAATATGTATAATAAAAACACAATAATAAACATTTACCTCGTACAGTCAATGTACACTATATTTAACAACAAAAAAGGAGTAGAAATCGATTTAAAAAAAAAAACGAAATTTATCATCTAAACTTTCTCACTGTCAACATACACACTGAAATTACATTTGAAAATACAAATCTAAAGTTGATTTTTGTGCATTTTCTCTTTCATTTCACAATTGCTTATAGCATTTAATACTTCATTCACATTAAAAAAAATGTCATTTAAACAAGGTTTAAACTTTGTTTGTTAACATTTTTTCAGCAGCGACTTATTAATACTAATTCTTCCATTGAAAAAAAAACAATATCTTCTGCATTCAACAAATTGCTAATATCATCTTCATAGACATATATTAAAAAATAAAAACTTTTGATTAAGTCATCTGGAAAACTTTATTTCTAATTTATTGTATTTTTTTTTCTAGAACAATTTCTGGCGCAATTGCCAATATAAGGCTTATAGCATTTAATACTTCATTCACATCAAAAAAACACATTTAAACAAGCTTTAAACTTTGTTTGTTAACATTTTTTCAGCAACGATTTATTAATACTAATTCTTCCATTGAAAAAAAAACAATATCTTCTGCATTCAACAAATTGCTAATATCATCTTCATAGACATATATTAAAAAAAAAAAAAAACTTTTGATAAAATCATCTGGAAAACTTTATTTCTAATTTATTGGATTTTTTTTTCTAGAACAATTTCTGGCGTAATTGCCAATATAAGGCTTATAGCATTTAATACTTCATTCACATTAAAAAAATGTCATTTAAACAAGGTTTAAACTTTGTTTGTTAACATTTTTTCAGCAGCGACTTATTAATACTAATTCTTCCATTGAAAAAAAAACAATATCTTCTGCATTCAACAAATTGCTAATATCATCTTCATAGACATATATTAAAAAAACAAAAAAACTTTTGATTAAGTCATCTGGAAAACTTTAATTCTAATTTATTGGATTTTTTTTTCTAGAACAATTTCTATTTTGCGTATTTCTTAGTGACTTCTTTCTAATAACTATTAATGTTTTCAATAGCGTTTTTAATAGTCTGTGAAGTTTTTCCTAAACGTAATCGACTTCAATTAAATCTTTGTTATATCATAAGAAATCATCAGTCCTAAATGAAATCTTCTAGATTTATTTATTATGTAATTGTTGAATATAAACATATACAAGTTGATGAGCAACTTGTATATGTACTTGTAGAATACGCTATTTTCGTCGTGAAATTAACACAATTCCTGAATTCACCGACAAGTTCTTAAGAATTAATTTGTACGAATTGATTTGGTAAATATTGTGAATGAACTTACTGTAATCGCTGCTTCAAAAATTCTATCCAGTTCTCTTGGATAAGCTTTTGGTCTCTGTCTTGATCGAATAACTTGAATAGTTGTTCCAATAGATCCTGCAACAAAATAATATTATTACATTTAGAAAAATATGAAACAAACAATTTATGTATTAGTTGTTAGTCAATATGCAAAAAGAACTGAAAATGTAACTAAACTGTCTTTAAATTGTCTTTATAGTAATAGTTATAGTATAAAACATATTCTAAAACAGTGATTCCCAAAGTGGTCTATATCGACCCCCAGGGGTCTATGACAACCTGCCAGGGGTCTACGTCAGCG